GGCATTTGCAGGTGCAGTAGAAGCTTTCTTCTATCTAACACAACGTGTTTGAATCATCATTGTTGCCTTATACTTTCTACTGGAACAAGTGTGCTCAACACCACTTTACAGGAAGTCATTCAGCACAGTTTTACTGAGTCTGTCAGTATCAGCCTCTCTTTCGTTCAGTGGTTTCTGATTTGAAAAAGAAACATTAGTGAAACAGAAAGTATGTTTCTGTTACATCGCCATTAAGAGTCAAGCAGGAAAGACACAATTAGGTACAAGTAGAGAGGGAATAAAGTTTCTCCAGCATTAAAAAACACTGAAGTGCGGTAACTGTGGAAGGTGCCTGGGGGAGAGAGCAAGAGGTTTTACCCGAATTCAGATTTCAGACCACTGACTAGAGTCCTAGAGCCTGAAAACATTTTAAAGATTGTTAGAGCAGAAGGACATCATAGGAAACTTCACACCACTCTGGTTGAGTCTCTCAGGAAGAAATGTGTCAGAGTGAGCATTGTTTCACCTCTCTTCTGTGCTGGCAAAGCGTTGTCCAGCAGTACCTTGATCCTTGTCTGCAACTGAGTGCAGGACTCCTGCTCTGAAGTCACACGGACCTGCTGAGACGGGTTCACAGCGTGTTCAGGTTTAAAATGACGGAAAGCACCTGTGGTGGATAAGTTAGCATAGAATGCTTTTAATTCAGTTCATTCTATAAGTACTGAGAACCCTGCCGTTTTTGCATTTTGTTATTTTAAATCTTCTGGGTAAAAAAACTATGAATACTATGTGCAGGACTCTGGCTCTGTAGTTACACTGAGCTGCTGAGATGGTTCACAGCGTGTTCAGGTTTAAAATGGCAGAGAGCGGAAGCGCTGATTGTGGTGGATAAGATTGTGTCAGTGTTTTTATACATAGAGAGCAGGTTCTTCAGTGCCTTGCAAAAGTATTGACAGCCTTGAAGTTTCTAAAGTTTATTTTAATGCTTCTTGGTCAAAATACTATGACGTATCAGTATTCATTATGTACACATAAATCTGTAAAAAAAGATTTTTTAAAAAAGAGATAATTAATATCATAAGGAAATGGCAAAGTCATAATTGCATTAATTTTCAAACCCTAAATTCATCTGAGTGCACACATTTACCAAAATGGACCACACTAATTGTTGTGCTGTTTCTATGTGCAATTGTAGTTATTTACATGATTTCAGAAATAAATACTTTTGTCTCTGTAAAGCCCATCAGTCAGGCAATGAATATAAAGAATAGACTTAATCCTGGAGACTAAGAAGGTTTCAGAACAGCTCAGGGATACAGGTATAGAAAGACACAGACAGCCTGCACATGGATCTCTGTGAAACAGCACTGCCTGCATCCACCCAGTCACAGGTTTCCTGTTCTCAGACATCACCTTGCATTCCTCTTCATACAGTTAGGAACTGTGTTGAAATTTCAAGTGTTTATTTTTAAACCATTAACAAAATAGTAGCAATAATACAACTTCGT